TTTCTGTTTATCTTCATTCCTAATAAGAAAGGAACTTTCCATTTTCCCAAAAGGGAACAAGAAACCTCAAATATTCTCTCAAGCAATCACTGGAATTTAAATTCAAAATTACAGTTTATAGATTAAGTATTTTCACTGATTTTTCCTCTAGTATATCAATTTTGTTCAGATACAAACTTCTTTCTGGTTTAGCAAACTGCTTTCTGATTTAAAATTTAAATCAGAGAACAATTCTTAATAGTTAAAATCACTTTCTGAAATGACAGTCGCAGAGGAGGATTTCTGTGTGACCAGGAGCATTTTGGGATGGAAACATGGAAAAGGCAAGCCTTGGGTCATGTATATAAGGGAACAAAATAGATGTGGGGTTGGGGAATTGAGGGGAGCAGATGAATAAAAGAACAAGAGCAAAGGTGAAGGCAGAAGGAGGCAGAAGGGAGCAGATATTTAGCTGATCATAGTGAGAGTAGTTGAGATTGATTTGGAAAAGGCCTGGAAGAAAACAGGTGAAACAAATGTGAATCAACTGAAAAATACATATTAATTGCTTCCTAAGCACCAGGCACTGTTCTAGGCACTATGGATGCTGTGGTAAGGCAGACAAAGATGCTACAGTCAAGAAACTCAATGTTTGTGGTGAGGTTGGGAGCAGGAAATAACTGCATTCCTATTTTAAAAGATCATTTTAGATTATGATTGAGTTTGATTGCATTATGATAAAAGAGAATGAAAACAGACTATAACCACCAGATTTTTAAAATTTCATGCACTTCTAGATAAAATTGGAACAAGTGTCTCCTCTATTATGTTGTATTCCTTTGTTAGTTCATATTTGCATTATTAGTATAGTCTTCCCATGTGAATTTCTGTATGGATCTTTTAAAACCCTCTGCCCATTTTGTGAAGGGTGATTCGTTAGCACTCTATTTTATAATTCTCATAATCCTGGTTCTAGTTTAAAATTGGCCAAAGGAACTATGCCCACAAAACTGACAACATGTCTCAATGTGCAGAAAGTGCCAGACTAAATGAGGGTACATGTCAATTCTTCCCTTTCGTCTAACTTACTTTTTCCTCAGGACATCAGGATGTGATGGACACACAACTTCGCCTGACAAATGCATTGTGTGAATCTTCCAGGATCAATTGCTGGCAGTTAATCTTTTACAGTAACTCTTCAGTTATTTATTTTTTTCACAGAAAATTGTTATAAATATTCTCATTTCTTCCACCCTATTGGGTGTACACATCCTACTTTGGAAAGGACTATAAAAGAGAGGGTTTGAAAGAGGATGGTTATTTCACTAAAGGGTGATAAAGAAGGAAACTCTATGAAGTGAAATTTAAACAGGAACTTAAATAATGAGGTAGAACAACCATACAAAAAAGTGCTTCAAACATATCAGTTAGGGAAGCAGAGCCATTCAGAATACAGTTGTGGATGAATCATTTCCTACACAGATGCAGGACAATCTTGGGAAGTGAAAGTCTAGAGAGAGTTAGGGGATCACAGAAGGATTCACTGAACAATATTTCAGAAGCACTGGTACAATTGGACAAGTCAGGGTTTGTGAGAAAAGTCCAAGAAGGCAAACCTGCCCAGCTACCCTATTGGGAGTGTCAGGGGGTCTATGGGAAGCTATTGCCTCTGTGTGTTTACTTCCAAATATCTGGTGGCGGGCCTGGGATTGTTAGGGGGAAAGGATGTCCTGAGCTAATCCCATACAGGCTTTGTGGACCCCACCCCCACTCCAGACTAAAGCCATCAAGACATTGGGAAAGACAAATCACCAAAGGGAAGGTGGCTGGGACCTGAGGGTGGAGTTGGGCAATCAGGTTGGATATAAAAACCAAACACGTGGGCCTTGGGGCGCTCGCTATCGCTTGCCTCCTGGCTTCACCGCTCCTGGCTGGCGGCCAGCTCTCAGAGTGCCATTTTGGGATTCCTGATTGGCGGATTGGGTAGGACTCATTTAAAAGTTTGTCTCCCACTTTTCTCCCTGAGCTGTACATTTCCTCATTTCCCCCTCCCTTGTAAATAAACCTTTTATTAACCTTTCGCGTGTGCCTGCAGTAGAGCATTGATAAGTCCTTTTAAGCGCGCGGGTGAGGACCCACAGTCAGGCACCCCGTTTTGTATCGGGGTTACTCTACAACAGGACCATTGTGGGTCACAAGGTCAGCAGTTGTGAAGATGAAGTGAACTTGGAGGAGAGATCCACCGGATACCATGGTATCTGTCATTTTATTTATTTACTTGCTTACTTTTTAAAATTAAGGGTAATGGCCATTTCTTTACTTCTGACTTCCAAGTCTTACCCAAGAGCCTCTTTGACTAACTCTAACCTTGAACTAAAGTCAGAGAGCTAACAAGTGGTATCCTCCTTATCTGAACCCAGATAGCATATAATCAGAATCTTAGTTCTTTTTATAGTACCCCCTATCTCTCAGATGAAGCCTCTCATCAGTAGTCATGTCCAGCACTAGCAGCTGCTCCCTGCCCAAACATCATAGTGTCTGGCCTCTGAAGTATACTTCAAATGTATAAGGCTGGTATCTCTGTCTATCCTGAACCGACTTAAAGATGTCACACAGTGTAATACTTCCAGTCTGAGTTTTCCTATACTCTTAACTAACTTATTCTTAGTTGCTATCATAACTACTTGAGACTTTATAATATTTAAACATACATAATTTTAGAATATAGAAAAAAAGACATTTTGGCTTCCTGAGTGTTTATCTCACTCAGATAACATTACCCTTGAGGATTAGGAAAGAAATCACAGAACTCTTATAATCAATGTTGTTACAAGGTAAAACGGTCATATTTTCCCACAGAGATTTTTTTCTTTTTCTGTCCTCAAGGAACCCTCAAAGGGATTACGTGTCTTTATCTCAATTACACCTTATCTGAAATGAGAATCACTGTTCAGGTTGAGGTACATGTTGCAGACGTTTGAAAAAACAATCAATATTTGCTTTCTGATCAATGGTCCATTTATTGATACCACTGGCTTTTAACAAAGAAAATATTTCAAAGTATAAGATATATGCTGATGCTGCTTTGAACTTAACAGTTATTTGTTTATAGAATATACATGTTTATTATATAAAAGATGACTGATTATATGTGTGTGTCATAGCTACTTCATCAAAATATGTGATCTTTGCTTACTAGGTATACACTGTCCTTTGAGATGCCTGGTAACTGGATCATATACTCTCAAATTATGGAACATTCAGATTTTTTGGAGTTACATGGAAGGAGCTAAAAAGTTTCATGATAGAATGACACTGTTTGGGTGGAATCACCACTGGGAAGCACCACTGAAAATCATCTATTGTGTGAGGAATGACAAAATTTGGGGAAGTGGATACAAGTTTTAATTCTGACCCAAGACAACCTCTCCTATACAATCCATCAAACTTGCATTTTAAGTGGATCCCAAGCCCTGCAGAGGCCAAGTGGGCACCAAGGATGCCTCCACTAACAGGATTTGATGCTCCTTTTAGCTCTTAGTATCTTTGGTGTGGTAATCAATAATCACAAAAGTTTACAAACTCTGAAACAAATTAAACTGACAAGTTCAAAAGGATCTGGGTGGCTTTCTCATCAGAGCATAAAGAACTGTCAGAATATAGAGGTGCATCAGGAATGGTATTGAAGGAATTTTTACGTTGGGTGAGGAAAACCTGGACATTGTTTGACCTTTAAAGCCCCTTTCCATTGTAAAGTTCTATGATTCCAGGTATCTTGTATATCTTATGAAAAAAGTTCAGAATGTTCACAATATTTTAAACATTTCCTTCTTGTTTGTTGACAAGGTCAAGTTAACTTCTCGTTACAATAAAACAAGGATATTGCAACACTGCCAGTTCCTGCATTGTCCATGTCCTGAAGATAATAAGTAAATGATAAACTCCTAAACTAGGAGTTGCCAATATGCTCTCAGGAGGTGACCTGTTTTTCCTCTTACATGTGACAACTGCAACTAGGAAATTATCTAAAACCTTGTTCTATGGTATATTAGGCCTGGTGGCAGTGAGAAAAATTAACTGTGGCCCCTGCCTTCAAGAAGCTGACAATCTGGTTGGGAAGATGGCATAAACACACAAAATATAATTAGATAACAAATAAGTGCTTGTCTATGTGAATACATATGAAAAAAGGGTTTTAAGATAATCTGAAGGTCTATCAGATTTCATTTAAGAGGGAGAATTGAAGCGAGCTCTAAGGACTACATCAAGGGAGGAGGAGTAGGAGAAAGAAGGCAGCCCTGCAGGGTGTTGGAGAAAGAGTAAGAAAGGAGTAGACGCAGGTGGGTGAGAGCATAACCTCATAGGAAAAAGGAGATGGGCACTGAGAGGTGGTAGGCAGTGAGGAGCTGACTTGATTTAAACCAAGGGGATTAATAAGGAATAAACTGGTGGCCTGGGAAGGCAAGATTGTGTCACAGGGCTTCAAAAAGTCAGATAGAAGGTTCTGAAAACCAAGTGCTACTGTTCTGCAGTGGTAGTTCCCTAAATCAACTACTAAGGATCCTCCAGATACATTGTGTGTAAGGCCTGCAGGCTGATTCAAATAAAGATGCTGATGGCCATGGCAGCTTGGTGAGGTCCAGCTCGATTCCAAACTGTGCTCATCAGGAAGTTGACAGGCTGATGCTTGCTGACTGGTGACTCAGAGTACTGTTCAGTATTTGTGACCTGAAAAGCCTCCGGCTGCTTTCCCAGGCAGCTGTTGTGTGTGGGATGTAGTTGTACGGACATTTGTCCAGAGATGGGTGTTATTAAGATGGTGGTCTTAAGCACAATGAAATTCAGTTGGGTGGAGGTGGAAGAACAAAGACAAGCATTAGTTTCTAACAATTTTTAACACTTGGACTTTAAAAACAACTTTCTAGTTCTAATTATAGCTTCATAATAAGGATTTATGTTTTCTAGTCAAAACACTAATGCCTTTTGGAATTATTTTACTACAATTAGAAGAAACATTTTGAACACAAAACACGTTTTGGGAGTCACTTATGCAGTCTTCTTTTGCTGAGAATGTTGAGACTTCTTATGGTTTAAACCTTTCTTAATTTTTGGATATTTTCTCCCTTCCTTTTGTTTTTTCTTAAAGTCAGCCTGTGAGGAGAGAGAAAAAAGGGTGATGTTTCTTAATCTCACTACTTTTCCTTCTTTGTATTTGGACTCTCCAGATTATGAGCTTTCTTCATCCCCCAAATTGATGTAAAGTTACTTCTTCACTTTCTAATGGGCTCCTTTTGAGATTACTTTGCTCACTTTGAGGAGGAAGCAATAAGCTTCTAACTGGTATGTTTTGTCCCTTCTCTTGGCTAATACTAACTTGACCTTCACCTTGCTTTTGACTCACCTGTCCCAGTTACAACCATCTGAGGTTGGTACTAATGTCATTCAATCGTTACATGTCCAAAGACCGAGTCTTGCCTATGGTGACTTGCCCAAAGTTCCACAGCTGGCATATGGCAGAATCACTAGTCTGTCAGGCTTCAGAGCTCAAGCTCTCAACTGTAAATTCTGTGGCCTTCTTGAAACTTAACCCCAAAGTAAGTCATAGAGACCACTTTGTCCTGGTCTGCTTTCTTTTTTTTTTTTTTTTTTTTTTTTTTTTAAAGATTTATTTATTTATTTATACAAGCACTGGGTACGGTCAGAAGCGTTGGAGGGTGAGAGAATTCACCGGAGCCAGAGCGGGGAGCAGAGCAGGCAGAAGGACCGAAGGACACTGCTGAGGGGAGCAGCGGGCGGCAGGAGAGGTCTGCGCGCCATGTGGGACCCTCCTCCGGTGGCCGGGGAGCAGCCGGGGATCGAACCGGCGCTGCAGAGGCCGCGGGCAGCTTCGCAAGCCAGCGCTCAACCGCTGCGCCACCGGGGAGGCCCTGTCCTGGTCTGCTTTCTACCTCAACCTCTTCACTTCTTCCACATGAGCTTCAATCATATTACTTGAAACACCCTGAACACAGCAAGCTCTCTCTTGATTTTATTTTTCATGTTGTCTTTTCACTCCTGGTGAACTACTTATCCTTTAAGATCCTAATAAGATGTCACCTGAAGTGAGAAGTCTCCCTTAACACTTTCTTCCTGCCCCCATCCCCTACCCCAGCAAAGTTAATTGCTCCTTCTTCTGTAATCTTCAAGATTCTTGTACCTATCTTTAACTTATATATCTCACATTGTACATAATTGCTAGTATATATGCTATAGAAGGAACTATATCTTTTTACTTTTCTAATCTCAGTGTCTATCATTTATATCAGCACATATTTATTATATTGAGTAAGAAAGATGAGCTCTCTACCCTCATGGAACACATATTCTAATGGGGGAGATACACTAATGATAGTATTTATAGGGATACAGTTATACCTCAGATGGCTGAAAGCATTCTAGGAACAAGGTAGGAGCATAATGATATGAAAGAAAGATATAACCTTAAAGTAACCACATAGTCTTTGTCTTCCAGAATAAGTTCTAAAATAAAGATAATTTTGTTTCCCCTTTCACCAACCTGTTTTTTCCAACGTTTAATCAAATTCTGCGCATCTTTTGAATCTGGGTTTAGACATGTTTGATGTCCATTCTTCATTATAGCACTGCCAAGGATATAATAATGGGATTTTTTTCATCATTTTTAACAATTTAAATGCTTCATGTGACTCCAGAATCCAACTCCCCAATCTCTCATTTGGATCAGAAGAATTAATATCTTCAAAATGCCCATACTATCCAAAGTAATCTATAGATTCAATACTATCCCTATTAAAACCCCAATGGCATTTTTTACAGAAATGGAAAAACCAAGAGGATGCATTAGTATCATTACTATAAATATTTGAAACTTCTAGTCTTTCCCCTGCCTTCTCATTTTCTCAGTGAGTGAGGGGACTTAGATAAATTTCAAGGAGAGCACATAACCCTAAATTTAAAAAAAAAAAAATTAGGTATGTACAATGGGAGAAACTTATAATATTGGTTCTTGTGCCACAAATAGCTTTGTATGTTTAAGTGAAGGAGCACAATACTAAGTTGTCAAAATATCGACTTTTTTATACAAAACAATTAAATATCATGAATTTTTCTAAATTTGTTTTTGTTTTTGTTTTTTGAATTTTTCTAAATTTTAATGAAACAAAAACATGATAAAATGTATTCCTAAGACAAGATTAACAGACTGACTTTTGAAATTACAGCAGATTTTCCAGGAATAATTTAAATATTTTTTTAAAATTCTCTGTATAGTCTGAGAATAAGAGCAGTCATCCTACATATCATCCTTGATTTAGGTCTCAAAGATTTAAAATATGAATGTTCTTTAATTTAGCAATTCTAATCTCTAGAAAGGTATTATGAATAAGAAAGAATTAAAGACACAATGTTGCTACAATAAGTTTGTTTTTAATAGCAAAAAATTAGAAATAGCCTTCATTGATCATATAGATTATGGTACATCCATAGCTAGAATACAGTTTTATCATTAAAAATGACATTATTAGAGGGCCTCCCTGGTGGCACAGGGGTAAAAGAGTGCTATCAAGCTATCATCAGCAACTGAGGCCTGGGTTCCATCCCTGGCCCGGGAGCTAACCCACATGGCACAGCAGACCTTTTCTGCTTGTCTGCTGCTCCCCACAGCAGTGTATTTCAGTAGATCTCCCTTTTCTGCTCCCCACTCTGTCTCTGGTGAATCTTCTCAACCCCCCCATACGTCTGGCCAAGACCCCAGTTCTTGTATGCATGAAAATAAAAATAAATCTTAAAAAAAAATGACATTATTAGAGATTTACTGACATAAAGAAATGTCCGTGTTGTGATGTTAATGAAAAAGCAGGTTATCAAACAGTATGTAATACATAATTTTATTTTTGTGAATACGTATTATGTATGTATACATACAAATACACACACATACATTTATGCTGTCTATATATCTACACACAAAGCAAATGAGAGAAATTTGGGGGACTATAGACCAAGGAATTAACAATATTTGTCACTGGAGGGCAGGGGTATAAGTGATTTTTTTTCTTCTTTTGGTATATCTGCATTAAACATTTTCTACTGTGAACATACATAACTTTTTAAAAATATTATATTTTATTTTATGTAATTCTTACATCATTTTTCATTTTTGCACAATGTATGCATTTTCATTTTGGTTATATTCTCCATACAATTCCCACCCCTCTTATTTTGGCCCGAATCCCTCCTCTCCTCCCCTCACCCCTCCCCCGCCCCATAGTGAGTCTCTGGTTTATAGTTAGTTGTTGATTTTGATTTTTGCTTTATTATAATTAGTCTTTTTCCTGGTCCCTTATTTAGGTTTTCTAAATTCCTGCTATGAGCGAGACCATCTGGTATTTTTCTTTTTCTTTCTGTCTTATTTCGTTGAGCATGATCCCTTCCAGCTCCATCCAGAACATGCATAACTTTGATAAACTATCACCTTTGGTCCCAATCTCTATCAGAAATTCTTTGTTTTTTCAAAGAAAAGAAGGTAGTAGGCCAGTTTATGGTAGTAGGTCTAACCATCTAAATTTTATTTTTTTTAAAGATTTATTTATATGCATACAAGAACTGGGGTATAGGCTAGAGGTGCGAGAGGATACACCAGAGACAGAGTGGAGAGCAGAACAGGTGGTCTGACTGAAAAAGCCTGCTGAGGGGAGCAGCGGGCGAGGCAGGAGAGGTCTGCTGTGCCATGTGGGTCACCTCTCTGGCCGGGGATCAAACTTGTGCTGCAGTGGCTGAGGATAGCTTCATAGTGCATCTTAACCCCTTGTGCCACCAGGGAGCACCCCCCATCTAAATTTTAAATGTCTGTATGGGCAAGTGCTCCCAGCTAATACTACCACTCAGTTAATGTCCCTTCCAATGTGGTATATGCATGTTAGATAAGGTTTTACTTACATGATTTCAGTTTTCTCACAAGAAGGGGTTGGATCATATTGGTTAATGTCTTTTATGGATTTTAGGTAGATATCTCCACCATTGCTGGTGGTGATACAGAGACAGCGTCCTCTTCTCCTTATTGGGGTTCCTAAGGGGAAGAGAAAGGTGGAACACATAGTTTAGAGCAATGTCTCAATGTAGATGATCCATCAAAATGACATGTTTTATTTAGTTATTACTATCATTTACTGAGTTTCTAAATCATTACCACAAAACTTTTGGAGATATATATGGAGGTAGGTATTACCTCCATTTTATAAAGAAGTTAATGTTCAGAGAAGCTAGCAAAGAACAAAGTAATTCATCTTTAGTGGGTAAAGGCAGGGTTTTGGCTCAGATCTCTTTGAATCCAAAGGCATTGTTCTTAACACTATAGACATGAGAAAAAGATTTCAAATAAATCCTTACTGCAAATTCAGACACACAGAAACTCAGTTCATGTGTGCTAAGTGGATCACAGTTTCTTAAGCAAATCCCAAAACCTTTTATTCTCTGATCCTAGTAGAACTGAGTTGGTTTTGGTTGAGTAGAAAGCAATTCTTATAAACTAATTACTACCACCATCCTCACCCTCCTCATCACCGTTTCTTCCAATTGTGTTTTAAACATTGAAAACCTTTTAAAATGCATTTTCCTCATTCATTAATTCTTTCATTCATTCAACATATATTTACTCAGTGCTTAATCTATGTCAAATATTGAGTGATAGGTAGAAAAAGTTTACCTCTAAATTCTCCATTTTACATATAAGGAAACTGAGTTCTAGAAAAGTTCACTTATTTGTCCAAGATAAAAAAAAGGTAGTTAGTAAATAGATTAGGGAAACGATTGCTGGATCCTTAATTGATTAACTGCAGGCATAGTTATCAAGAAACAGTAACAGGTGGACAAAATAATTTACGAGACGAAGTCTTTCCTTATCATCAGTTCAACAAACATTTGTCAAACACTTATTACATGCCAGGAATTCATAAAACCAGACAAAAAAGAGTGTGTTTTCCTTGGCAGGTCAAGTTTAAAGAACTGACCCTACTGCCTAGAAGCTTTTGTGAGTGACATAGCATGTTCTGATACACACAAAACAATTATCAAATCAAGATTTTTATAGCAATTAACACTTTTGATTTTACTAACCTAATACCACTCAGAACCCCATACCTTGAACTCCAATAAGAATCAGGAAGATGATATCCAAAAGGAGAAGAACAACACTTTTCTTCATAGTGACAGAATGGTCTTCTACTGAGTAACTCCTGTATTGGATTTCAAGCCTGAGAAATTCTTTAGAAAACGTGGTCTTGAGAATCATATTTATTTAGGAAATCCATTTCCCTCCTAAACTATGATTGGCTGATGTTCTTAGCTGAGGTAGCTAATTTGACCACAAACTTCATTGTTCTGGGGAAACCCTACTCTCAGATCCAAGGGAATTTCTGCATGCTTTATTTCCATTTCACATAAATGGGTGGTTTATAGTAAGGGATGTGAAGCCAGAATCACCGGGAGCCTTTGGCACATTCACAGCTGCTCACCTGGGTGTAGAACAGTTTACACAATGAATATAATAACGTCATACAACAAGAGTGTGATTTTCAGGTGGGATATATTAAAGTCCAGAAAAGTATACTTTTCAAATTTTCTTACTACTTATGGAATATTGTTCTGTATAATATATGACTAAATTTAACTTTTGTTATATTTGTTACCTAGCAATCTTTTTTCTTTTTAAGATTAATTTATTTATACATACAAGAGCTGGGGTGCAGGCCAGAGGTGCAGTGGGTGAGGGGATTCTCCAGACAGAGTGGGGAGCAGAACAGGCAGACTGAGTGAAATACACTGCTGAGGGGAGCAGTGGGTGAGACAGGAGAGGTCTGCTGCACTATGTGGGTCATCTCCCGGGCCAAGGATAGAACTTGTGCTGCAATGGCTGTGGATAGCTTCATGGTGCTGCAACTTAACCCCTTGTGCCAACAGGGAGGCCCTGTTACCTAGCAATCTTGATCAAAATACATTAAAAAGCTCTATTTCCTCAGGGTCCAGGCCATTTTCTACTATGGTAATCTCATTTTGTTAAATCATTGCTGCTTTAGTTTAATATTCTCTAAGTGATTATATTAGTTAGAATAAGGGATCAGTTGAAAATAGACAAATGGATCTCCATCAAAGTTAAAAATTTCTACACATCAGAGAAAATCAACAAGTAAAAATGGGACCTAAGGACTAGGAGAAAATATCATTTATCTGATAAGGAATTAATAACCAAAATATATAAAGAACTTCTACAATGATAGCCCCAAATAACCTAAGGAAATAGGCAAACCCTTCGTATACATTTCTCTAAAGGAAATATATGAATGGCCAATAAGTGCACTCAACATCACTAATTATTAAGGAAATGAAAATTAAAGCCACAAGGAAATATCACTTCACATCCATCAGGATGCCAATATCAAAAGATCAGAAAATGACAAGTGTTTGTAAAGATGAGGAGAAGTTGGAACCCTGTGCACAGTTGGTGGGAATGTAAAGTGGGGTAGCCCTAAAGGAAAACAACAAAGAGGTTTCTCAAAAAACTAAAGATAGAATTACCACATGATCTAGCAATCCCAGGAATATGTCCAAAGGAAGTCAAAGTAGGATCTCAGAAAGATGTTGTTCATGACAACATTTTAACAACAGCTAATAGGTAAACCAACCCAAATGTTCATTAACAGATGAATTGATAATGAAAATGTGATAAATACAGAGAATGAAATATGATGTAGCCTTTAAAAAGAAGGCAATCCTATCACATGGTACAATATGGATGAACCTAGAAAATACTCTTCTAAACAAAATAAGCCAATCACTAAAGGATAAATTTTAAGGGAAGTATCTAAATTCAAATCATAGAAACAGAAAATAGAATGATGCTTGCCAGGAGGTAGCATACGGGGGAATTAAAATTATCTTTAGGGGTATAGAGTTTGGTTTTGCCAGATGAAAACTTTCTAGAGATTTGTTGTACAACATCATGAAAATACCTAACACTACTGAACTGCATTTAGAACTAGGTACATTTAAGTTATATGTCTTTTGCTACAATAATAATTTAAGAAAAAAAAGAGCAAGAAATCATTTGCCTATAAGAAACCCAAACTAAAAGTGAGTAACTAGGATAGAGTGTACTTTCCTCTGACAGAGGTATGTGAACTAGGGCTTGGATGGCCATTCTGCTCTCTGGGTCTCCCATGCTCCTATTTTGTTGCTTTACAGTCATCTCCAGGTTGTTCTCATGCACATAGTCCAAGGGGACTTGCCACCATGTCCACTTTGCAAATAGAAGATGGTGGGGCAGCAAAAAAGGGGCACATGCCTTTTTTTTTTTTTAAAGATTTATTTATTTATGCATACAAGAGCTGGGATACAGGCCAGAGGTATAGGGGGTGTGGAGGGGGGAGGATTCACCAGAGACAGAGTGGGAAACAGAAAAGGCAGACTGACTGAAATATACTGCTGAGGGGAGCAGTGGCAAGACAGGAGAGGTCTGCTGCGCCATGTGGGTAGCTCCCCGGCCAGTGATTGAACTTGTGCTGCAGTGGCTGCGGATAGCTTCATAGGTTACATCTAAACCCATTGCGCCACCAGGGAGGCCACACATGCCTCATTTTTAGATGCATCCTAGAAGTTGCACCCATCACTTACCATCACCTCCCACAGGCCAGAACTTACATAGCTGCAAGGGAAGTTATGAAATGTGATCTTTATTCTGGTTGTCTGATAAAATTTGGAGATTCCATTACTGTAGAACAAAATCCTTAACTTTTTTCTATCATCATCTCTCCTGAGATAAAGTAAATTAAACTGAATCTAATCTAAATTTAATTTCTTCCTAAAGAGAAAAATTAAATATTAATAAATAAGATTTTGTTGGGTGCAGTTCAGCAATGGTGGACAGCCGATCACTGCAATGTCTTAGATTTTTTTAGACTCTCAAAAAACAATTTTTGTCTTTTTAAGAGCAATATCCTCCCCACCCCTCATTGAGAATGCATGCAGTAGTGGAAGGGGAGAACAAGTATCAGCATTTTCTGACACATGGTGTACATTTATGGATTGGTTTCTAGATGGATTAAAATGCTTAAATACCACATTATAGAATTCTTTTTTAAAGAAAACTTGTGCTCTTTGACACAGTCTTATTTATTCGGTGACTCTCAATTGTGGTAGTGACTGTGGCCATGCATAGGGGGGCTCTGGGTTCAAGTCCTAGTTTCCCTTCTTCATGATGGCGTGCACACTACTTAATTTCCTTAAGCCACAGTTTCCTCATTTGAGAAAAGTATTACGGACCTCACAAGTTGTTAAAATTAATGACAACAATTCCTTGTCCACTGCACTGCACCACAGAGCCAGTGACTATTCTTCCTAGCACAGAAAAGATATGGAAACTTCGTAGGATAAGGGCCCAGCATGGTATGCCCTAGTCCACCTTCGCAGCCTCTCCTTGCATAACTGCTACCTCACCCTTTTTCCCCTCAGTTTTTCAGAGACAAGTGATCCTATTCATCGCACTCGTTTTGCTCATGCCTTTTCCCTGCCTGGAATGTGGCGTCTGCTCCACCTGTCTACACTGCTGTTTAATAATTTACCCACCTTAGATTTCCAGGCAGGCATTTCCTATGGGAACACATCTCTGATCTCCAGACTTGATGATGTCCCGCACTTGCTCTTCTGGTCCCTTGTACCTGTTCTCATTCAGGATATATCCGTGTCAAAGCTACATTTATCTGCCATCCTATGGTTAACATCTCCCTCTACCCCTCAAACAAGGAGGACTTTGCGAAGTCTGAGCGCAGAGCAGATCACAGTGCCTGACACAGTAGGTGCTCAGTAAATACACGAAAAGGTGTGTGTGAAGGAACGGGGGTGGGGGTGGTGGTGGAGGAAGATTCCCAGCCTAGCTCAGTACTGCGCCAGCAACGCGCAGTCTGGCCTCGCAGGGGGCAGACCGGGATACCTCCCTGGGGGCCGAGGCGTGCACTGCGCATGCTCAGTCAGCCAGGCTTCCAGAACCTTCGGTGGGGAAGCCGCAGCCGCAGCGTGAGCAGCCCGAGCCGCTTGCCTAGCCGCTGAGTGTCCCTGCTGATTGCGCTGATCCTGCCGGAGAAGCACTTGGAGGGGAAAGGTAGTGGTTGTGCCCTGGGTCTCTCTCTCCTCAGCGCCCGGTCTGCCTCAGCCCCCGCCCCGCGGCCATCGCGCTCCCTGAGGGGACGCCGGGAGCCGGCCATTTCGCAGTTTCCACGTGAAGCTTGGCTTGAGGCCTGGAGGAAGCCAAGGCCTCAGGAAGGCCCAGTCGTTAGGGCAGAGTCCGACAGTCGAGGCTTGGCAGGTTCCTTGACTCTGGGCTGCTGAAACTGGACAAAGGCGTTTTTGGGCAAAGAAAGTCGATATTGGGGTCAGCTCGGAGACGCTCAAGGCCGATCTTGTTATCTAGAAAGGCTCGTTTCCCTAGGAGCCAACTGAGGGGGGAGGAGGGGGCCCGTCTGAGGCCCAGGTGAGTGTGGAACTGCATTAAGCACCTCCGAGCAGATTTGGGCTGTGGAAATGAAGGCTGAGTCAGCTGCCTTTGACTTAGGCCCATTAAGTAACTTGTTTCCCATGTCTTTTTTTGGAAGTTGTCCTGAAAACGACAAGAAAACATGTTCTGACCGGGCGGGGCACAAGTCCCACCGACCTGGCATTTATAAATAGATTGGGCTTTTAGGAGAAAAAGAAACCGAGCGAGAGGATATTGCTGGCATTTCTTGCAGTCCTAGGAAATGCGCCAAGGACTATCAACTCTGTTGAAATCAACAGATTATTCTCAGTTTCCTTTTGGATAGGAGTGTTAGTCTTTTGCCTTGAAAAATCCCACTTCTGTGTCCCCAAGGAACCAAATGTTGACGTAACCCTAAAGAGCCTCGCAGAGTAGGATTTTGTTTTCACATGTCCTCTCCTGACTCCTCTTGTATATTCTTTTGGTTATGGAGTCAGGCAGTCGTCTGTTTAATTATGTACACAGCGTGACTGACTCAGTCATAGTGAAAATTAGAGTCTTCCTTTTGACTTGTGAGAGGGGAACTTTTTCTCATAGTGAAGCCCCTTGAGCTCTTTGAACATCGTACAGTGTGGACTTCCCCTTTTCTTAGTGGCTATTTCATGTATTAAAAGATGCTGCCTTGAAAAGGATTCATTTCT